GGACGGCATTTACTTGTCACTCAAAGTGGCCATTATGCCAACTTTAAGTCACAATACAAAACAAACAGGTGAGTTGCATAAAAATTCCCCTCATGCACAGTTGTCATAAATGAGGACATAAGCTATAGAGACCAAAACTGTTTTTTGTATCAGGCTGTTAACATGTTTATTCCTGCTGTAAAGTTGGACATTTTAACATGGGGACGTATGGGGACCGACTCACTTTTAGAGCCAGCCTCAAGTGGCCATTCAAGGAACTGCAGTTTTTGGTATTTCCCAAATAACATACAGACAAAGCAGCCATGACGTCCCCCACTAGTTTGTGGAGTGTCATTTTAAAGCTTCGTTGGAAGGAAGGAGGGAATGAGGACTTGGGAGTCGATAGGAGCCAGAGCTTTTTGGACCTAGCTGCACTCAGCAATTTTACAAAAACTCTGAAAAACTAACACTTTAAACAGCCTTAGCTTTACTTATAATAATGCGAGATGGTAAACATAGTTACCATACGTGGTGAATAGCAGCATGTTTGGTACTACTGGTATGTTTGCATTTTGCCGACGCTCAGCTCCACCACCAAAGCCACCTATCACACCATTTTAAGTAAACCTGCACATTTCCTTTTGTGATTTATGGTCCCCCGAGGAGCCAAATCAATCCTCGGACACCACACTATACATCTGAAAACGTCCAAACTGAGTTGTATGCATGATGTATTGCACTGTACAACAGATCAACGGGATCAAAAGATAAAGTCGAAGGCTAACATTTGCGGAAAATACAGCCGAAGGTAAAGGCGCTCAGCAGGGCTCTCTCTCCTCGACACACTCACGCTGACTGACAACATAAAGAGATTTACATCCTTGCAGCGGCTGTTTATCTGCTGAGAAGGAAGCACACTGCAATCCCCATCGCCCCAGACCACGTCTTTATATCACAGCCTCCTCAAACTGCCTGAAACTGCAGAAAGAGGAGGGATTCGAGGAAAGCACAGCTCCCACGCTGCTCTCCCATCATGTCTCTGCACTTGCTCTACCATACTACTACTCTGTGTTATGTACATGCAGGAGGAGGAGGAGGAGGAGGAGGACTGGAGAGAGCAAGAAGCACATCTTTAAAGATTTATAGAGGCCTGCAACAGGAGACAAGAGGCAGGAAGGAAGCACATGTGTAGAACAGGGTTTCAAAACATGGAGGGATGTAAAGAAAAGAGAAAGCTTTGCAGGGACAGTAGTGGCTGCAACCGCGTTAACAAGTGAGGTTTATGAGCCTGGATGTCAAAAGAGGGACTTTCTCCACTTCCTCCTTGTTGCGAAAAACACCAACATTTCAGAGGATGCGTGTTCAAAGAAAACAAAAGCAGCCGAGTGTGACTTCAGGTCGGAAGTAAAAACACATCAAGGCAGCATGTGATCACTTTGTGCAGCCATACATACATAAATGAGCACACAGTCGTGAACATGCGTGCACACTTAGATGGCACTTATGAGAGCAAAATATAGGCCATCCCCTGATGATAATTAGAGCTCTTTTTGTGATCCTGATTTAGAATCGGCACAAGACACCTCATTTGGTCTCCTATCTGAGACTGTGACATTCACAAGGTGTGAAATCAAAACACATTCCCATGAGGGTATTTCATGTTGGGCTGTTTCTAAATAAAACAGCAAACTACAATCCCATCGCCTCTGATAGCATCTTTCACTTAAGCTGTAGCAGGGACATCATGTAAGTGCTCTCCACGGCTGCCTCAGATTGAACGGACTTGACATCCGCATGCTGTAGCCTAAAGGGGAGGATGTACAGAAAGGTGGAAAAGATCGACTGCTGCTAACAAACCTCTGTTCAGCATGAAGTTGTCTAATTTATAGCCAAGAATCACAACAAATATGTTTGGTCTGTGAGGATGCTCCATTAAAAGGTCCCATAATGTGCCTCTTTCCAGCAAATTAATCTCAAGTCCTCAGAATGTGTTGTTCAATATTTCAGCTCAAAACACCACAAAGATGATTCACCCTGAATGTACAACTCCTGTTTTTAACTGTGTTCTAAACTGGCTGTTTCAGTGCAGCTTTAAATGAAGCTGGGCTGCTCCTGTCCCCTTCAGGAAGAAGACTCTCTCTGCTTCTGTGATTGACAGCACGGTGAGAAACAGTCGACCACAAGGCAGTCAACACAGAGGCAAATGACTGAAACCAGACTTTCTATCGCTTACTTTCTGAGCGATATTTCGACACGGAAATATCACAGCTTTAGACGGATGTGGCAAGTTTGGTGGTTTAGTGGCACATCGCTGCAGCGTGGTAATGACTCCGACGTGACCACTGGTTTACATGCAGTCTAATTGGACTTCAGACACTATTTCGGACTCACTTCACTGTCTAACAACAGAAAATATCTGAATGAGAAAAGGGATTTGGCGATAATAAAAAAACAGTATATGTGATCATAGAACAACGATACACAAACACCAGCTTAGTTTAAGTTGCACTGAAGCATAAAAGATGACATTAAAACACAGTAGCCCACCCAGTTCATTCTTTACTGGTTTCAAATCAGTCTTACATCTCTGAATGTCCCTCAACTTTAAAATTACATACAGTCAAAGCAAATGGTAACGTCCACCACAGTAACCACACTAAGGATTTTTCCATTATTTGTGGGCAGTTTGCTGTCAAAAAAAAAAAAATTAACCCACCAGATTTTTTTAGTTCCTCAGATTCTGGGAGTGCATGAAGACTCTTGTGTTCACTCTCAGCAGTAGAGCATTTGCTGTGCTTTGCTCGGGGCAGAGACATACAAAGAGTTAACAGAAGAAGCCGTAGAAAGTAAATAAACCTGGTCGACTGAGGGGAAGTTTTTCATTCTGAATGGTTCATGTGGAAGCAGCGAGGAGGCCGAATTATTGAAAGTTTGAGCTGTGCAAGTATTTCATAGGGGTACATAGTGACTTGTAAAGCTGGGAGACTGCCGAGATGTGAGGAATGTCAGCAGCAAACGTCGTCTTTTCTTAACAGCTTTAACTTTACACCTTTGAGTTTATAACAACCACAAAAATAAGAATTGATTGTCACGATGTGCGTCCTTACTATAATCTCATAATCTGACTGTTTCTTTCATGTTAGCTGTAGACATCATGTACGTAGGGTTGGGCTCTGATTGAATGGACTGAACCCTGTTAGTGTAGCCTAAAGGGGAATCAGATAAGTGGATAGAATTAGGATTGACAGCAAAAGTTGACCAGCTCATTGGTAAACACCATCTAAAATCTGTTTGTTCTATGATGAAATCTCCATTTAATTCATTCCAGGGGTCTGTGAGCATCCATGTGGCTCCCTCAAAAGCAAAAAAAAGAGAGAAAGAAATCGAGCCGAGGCCTGATGTGAACACAAGCTGCAGCCCACTTGCACATGCATGGTCGACACAGTCAGCTGGGCTTTCCGTCATCTCAGTCAGACCCCCGAGCAGCCAGCAGCTCATTCAAACGGTTCGCCTCCACATGGCAAACCGCAGACACACATGTGGAAGCGGCAGGACGGTCGTTAGCGACTCTCCTCTGAGCACCGGCGGCTCCTCTTCCTACACAGCCGCTGTTATTTATCGCTACGACAGTAAGAAAACAATTTTACATCTTCATAAATCCGTGCAAACGTTTTCCATTCAGCTGCGTCAAGTCACAAACACTGTTAACGTGCCACTTCTGGTGATTATTTTCAAAATAAAACTACCCAACACAGAGGAGCCCACGAGGAATATATTCTTCAACAAGTGGAGGTTTTACTGGAGACAACTTCAGAAAATGTTCATCTTATTTTCACAGAGGGGTCAGGGAAAAACAAACATCTCACAACTGTAAAAATAATTTAAACACAAAATAAGCAAACCCTAGCAGATGAGAAGCTGGAGGAGACTGGATATCTTTTCTGGAGAGCAAAACTTGGGGAAAAAAAGGATTTGTTTTTTGTGCAGTGACAACACACACACACTTGTAGGTGGAATTTTAGATATTCTAGATAGCAGTAGACTTGTCCAGGGTGTCCCCTGCCTTCGTCCTGAGTCAGCTGGGATAGACTCCCGCCCCCCACGGCCCGAATGACGATTTAGCAGTGTGTAGATAATGGATGGATGGATAGAAAGCAGTATAATACGGTATTTTGATAATCTTTTGACAAAGTGAAAATGACAGTGACCAAGATATGAACTCACTCACAGAGTCTTAAACTAACTCCGCAAACTCAGGCATCCTTCATTGCACCCAATTGCACAATTACTCTAATTAGTCTGGGCGTGGTTTAAAGGCCACATGGCTAGATCAAGTTTAAAGAACACTAATCATGACTCATGTATGATTATCATTTTTGCCTAAATCTTTAAGAAAATGTCATGAATTCTAGTTTTAACAACAATCTGAATCATTTTAAATGCAGTTTTTCTCAAGGTACTGGTCATGGTAGAACGGATTTAAACACAGTAATTTAAATATATGATTACAGTGATCTCTGAGTATTTAGTTAAATGTAACCAACAGGTGGTTAAAACTTAAAGCTCATATTTTGATTTTAAAAGCAGTATTTTTGTGCTATTATTTTGAAGGCCGCTGCTTCTACCTCCGCTCTCCTCGGCTCTAAGCGCCGCTGCCTTGCCGCAGCTGCTCCACGCTGACTGCGGCTCCCTCCGTCCCGCTACCCGCCGCCCTGCTGTCGGAGGCGGCTACAGCTTCGTGCTACCTCCCTCCCCGCTCAACGCCCACGTTCACACTAAAAACAAACGAACCACAAAAACGCCAAAACACTATTTACCGGGCGGCTGTTGACGGAGACCCTCTCAGCGTGTTGATGCTCAGCCCTCCTCCGACCACACAGCCGACTAAACCAGGGGAAGATGCTCCGGCAGCGGCGAGCCGCGATACACCGCCGCTTCCCCAAATCCATATTCACAAGCCCGATAAGCAAAACGATATATTTTTTTTTAACAACGAAAAGCAGAAAGAAACAGCGTCCTACCGTAGACATGGGTCGGTGCTGCCGGCTCCTTCCTCTTGCGGCTGTCAAAGAGGCTGTGCGGTGCAGCAGCTGCGGAGTCTTTGCCTCCTCCCACCGGCCGCCCCTGGCTCTGGCTGCTGCTTCACTTCCACCGTCTGAAAAGCCCGGTTCAGCGCAGCCGCCTGCCCGACTGTCTGCAGACTACAGCGGCTCGATGACTGCTACACAAATATGAGATTGTAAGGGGGGCTCAGGGCGTGTCGGCGGCCCGGGGCTCCTCCCACAGCCCCGCCGGTACATGCCGTTCTGCAGACGGAGCTCCACGCCAAACTTCATTCAAAAATATGGGAAGTCAGCGCGGTTCGCTTGGCATGCCAAATGTCGTTTCCCGTTTACAAGTGGGAAGTTGAACTTTTCACCCGAATTATCCGAATGTTGTATTCGGCATATACCTCACACAAAATTAAACGTGTTTAATTCCTTTTTAACTGTTTGGTTTGTGTGGGAGACAGTTCTGGGTAACATAACGGAAATCTACAAGGTCATTCTGACTTGTTCAAACTTCATCTAAATGATCTAAAAAAAAGGACAATGTAGATATCATGACCTGACTGGAATTAATTTTAACAAGAAATATGACTGTACATGTCAGAAAGTGGAACTGGCAGGAGTCAGTTACAGACAGAAATGTGGATTGTGGACATGAGCAGCTGAACTGCACATATCTGTAATGAGAGACCAAACACAGGACTGTAGAAGTTACCCAGCAAACAGTAGACTTCAGGGAAAGTTCAGAGAACTGTTGTTGCAGGTAATTTAGTTGCACTTTAAAGACTACCAAGCAAATAATAACATTCAGGGAACATTCAGACGTGTTCAGGGAACAGTTTATTGCTTAAAAACATTTTAAAAATGTATTTATTTATTTCATTTTTATTTTATTTCATTATTATTATTATTTTTTAGCACATTATAGACTCCTAAGTGAGCAGTAATGTTCAGCAAACTGTTAAGGGGACAGTGTTTTGTTAGTGAACTTTTTGTCACTTTAAAGCCTTTCCAGCAAACATTAACCTTCAGGGAACATTTGGAGAACTGTCCAGGGAACTGTGTTTTGTTACATTTGTTTTTTTTTAGCACTCTCCTCAATAAACAGTAACCTTGACGATTCCTTGAAGTTTACTGTTGAACCTTCAGGGAACTGTTCAGGGCACCATCCAATTTGATTTAATTTAATTTTAATTTAATTTTATGTTATTTTATTGTCACAATTGCTTTTGTAGCACTTTAAATACTCCTAGCAAACAGTATACTAACCTTCAGGGAACATTCAGGGAACTGTGCTTTGTTACAGTTACTTTTGTAGCACTATAAACCCTTCAGAGAACCTTTAGGAAAAGTTCAGGGAACTGGGTTTTATTAGTAACTTTTGTAGCACTGTTAAGATTCCCTAGCAAGCAGCATACAAACCTTCAGGAAACAGTCAGGCACGTTCCTTGCAGGTTCCCTGAAGTTTGCTGTTTGCTGAACTGTCAGGGAATCTTAGGGGAATGTTCCCTGAAGGTTACCATTTGCTGGGACGTCCTTTGTCCTGGAAGAAAGTCACTGTGGAGATCTGAAATATTCTTTTTGACGAGGAAGCATTAAATTAAAGAGATCTACAACAGATATTCAGGCCAGCTATTAAATGGTAAAATGACTTTGGTTTGATGAATTTATTACAATGACGACTAGTTGTGGGCCAATAAAATTAGGAGTTATTTTAAAGTCTCTCCTTATTGTACAAATAAATGTGTCTCTGTCTTTATATATTTTCTGTGTTATATCTCTGTCTTCTCAGATGACGTTTTAGACACACTGACAGGGAAATGATGCATCCTGAAAGTATTCATGGACGACACCCAAGTTGATCTTTTGCGTCATGAGCATTATTCACGTCCAGAGAATGACACGATGAACTTCAAGTGCCTGCAAATGATTTGAAACACTGCACGACTTACTGTCTGTGCTGAAATAAAAGGCTCCACTGATCCTCCTTAAAACCAGCCCACTGTTCATCATGTCAGCACAGGCCCTTATTACTGATACCCACATAAAAACACAGGACGGCTTTGCCTCCCGTGGTAACAAAACCCTTATGTATAATTAAAGTTATCAAGTGGCCGGCATCAAATATCACCATATCAGTTATTACATGCAGCCTGTTGCGTCGAGAATAACGCCGGTGTGGGCCGTTACTTCGCGTCTTACATCTGTGATTATGGCTCACAGTCAATCAGTGGTTCGTGGCACTTGGCTGAAGGGCACACACTTCGGTTTTTGCTAGCTGTGCAACATAATCAGACGAGTAAATCTCCAGTCCTGGGGAATGTGTGGTATGTCTGAGTGTGTGCGTGCATGTGTGTGTTAAAAGGTCTGCAGAGTCACAATGTGAAGGCAAAGCTACTTAAACAACACTGTGTCAGGATGCATGAAGAGCAGCCTGCAAACTGGGCGTTGACCCACAAACCTCAAAGTGGCCCTCACATGCTGACAGGGGATGCTGAGTGCATTGTGACAGGATCATCAGTCTCTTTTTCTTTTTTTAAAAAAATAAAAAGCACATAGGAGCAGGACAACCCTTATCTGCCCGTTCCTGCTGGTAATCCTGGTTGTGCAACCCATTATTTTTTCTACTTTAAATTTGTGTTTTCCCCGGAGGCCAGCACACCGCAGTGATCCAGGCCGCCGCTTTTTGCTGATGTTTCGCTGTGCGTTTTACAGATGGTGCTGGAATATGTTTAAACTGTGCTGCAGGAATTACACAGCAAAAGGATGGTGCGTGCTCAGGACTTTCAAGAGCTGCTGCTTTCTCCCAAATGAGTTTCTCATTTTTCCTGGAAAGCCCGGACAGCCAATGCAGAGGGAACAGACTTTTCCTGTTTCGTAGGCCTGTGCAGCCTCTCCGGCCTCCTAAGGGCGTGATGAGGAGGAACCTGCTTTTACTGAGCTAAACAATAGTGCAAGTATCAATTAGGTGATGCTGTTAAAGTTTTCATAAAGGATGACCTCATTGCACTTTGTGTTATCTTCGCACTGCAGTCATTGATGAGATGCTACAGAATGAAGCACCAGAGACGTCGATGGAGGAGGTAAAACAATCCATCAAACCCTGCTGGTAAAATCTGAGTCATAGCTGCTGTCAATTACATTAGTGTGTGTGTGTGTGTGTGTGTGTTTTGGATATACATTAGAACAGTGTGTGGAGATCCCAGACTGTGAGCCATGCTGGTAAACAGTCATTTGTGCAGCTTAAATGAACACTTTCGACTGAAAATTACTGCGCTATCTGACTGTATAGGCTCTCCGCTGAACATTACTAATGACCCGAGAGTAACAGTGTGTAAAGCATAAGTGCTATTCGAGAAAGTTTCCGCTCTAATGTCCTTGGTGCCTCCTCACGTGAACCAGAGCAGGCTGTCGAGGCCTCCGCTAAGCCGGTTGTTCTCCCGGCGGAGACATGAGTGCAGCTCTGGATTGATTTGCTCCTGTGGTGAATACAGGCACCAGCCGGCAGCTTCCAGCCGGCAGCACGCAGCCTCGACCAGCTCCGCCTCTGCAGGAGAGCTCGTTGTCCTGCTCCTGCGGCGCAACGTTTCCTCACTCCTCTGTGACTCTACTCCTGTCTGCCTGATGCACAGATCTAAGTATGTATTTATGCATATGCAGACACCATGTTAATGTCGAAGCATGTGAGGATCAAAGCACCCATTAGCACCATGTATCTGGTTGCTTCTAATGTTTTTCATCAGTATGGATGTGTGAAAACCACAATATCAAACACAGGAAGAGGTTGAGTGCATTCACTAGAAATCAACAGCTCTTCTGGTAGTAACACACATAATGTGACATTCACTAGTTTCTCAAACTGCAGTTTATCATCCTGCTAGAAGATAAAATCCCTATAACATTTTATAATAGAAAACGTCTGACTAATAACTTTATGTAAGTTCAACAATTATGAAACCAAGCAGCATTAAAAACACAGGCCTGGTCTGCACTGACATCTAGTGAACACATGAGGAACGTGCACACTGGGGAGAGGAGACGATGGTTTCCTTTTTCAGCAAAGTAGAAAATTAGAATAAGAATTTATAAATATTTATCTCAAGCGCATAATGTAATAAAGAGTGAACATCAATAGCACCAGAGCGGGTTTTTTATTGGTTGGACTTTATGCAGAATCCAACTCATTTAACAGTCGCCTCCATGTGGCCAAACACAGACACTGCAGGGACACAAACAGAAGAGCTGCTCACAGATTAGAGGCCAGTGGAGTCATACAATGTGCACAAACATGCACGCTTTGTTTGAATAGAATAACATATGAGCAGCACTTCAAAAATAGTTTGACACACTGGTGTTGTTGGAAGCAGATGTATATGTGTTAATTTTGGTTCTCTTAAGAGGCATCTGTATTTAAAGTTTTGTATTCATTACAACTGAAAGAGGTAAAATAATCAACTATTTTCCAAGCAACTCTGATAATCATTTTATTATTTTCATTTAAAATTATTATTTTAAATGAAATAAGGCTTAGATTACAATGTTTGCAGCCTTTGCACAGTGATAATTTACTCATATTCTATGGCAATAAACTGAATCTACTGGGTTAAAATACGTCGTCTTGTGCCCTGGTGAGCTGTGGCATTCATTTCCATGAACTTCTAAAGCAACATTTAATCTATTCAGCAAAAATCCATGAATACTTGACTTTATATAGACTGCATAATTAGCTACATGGGGAAATAATTGTTGGACTAAAAAAACAGTAAAAACAATGCAGCCCGTAAAGTTGTTTATAGAAACCACTTGCTGATGAAAGCTGCAAGATGCTGCTGAAATCTTGAGGAGAAATCTAGTGACTCAACCTTGATTTTAAGGGACATTACAATATATTTTACGCATATTTCCAAATGTGAAAACAGCTGTGTCATGTCATATGCTGCAGGACGCTGTGGTGGTGTCACAGGGAGTCTTGGTTCAAGCTAACAGTGTAAACTTTACAAACTAGGGGAATGAAATTTACAAGAAATGTGTTTCATGCTTAGTGTGACAAAATAATGGAAAAACTGGAACCCTTGACCCCTTCAGTGAGAGGATTAGTGGCTCTGTTGTGCTGTTGGGGGCATTTTCTGTTGTGGTTTGGATCTGCTTGTTCCTACAAAGAGAGGGTGAATCAGATGTTCCGCAGTCATCAGATCTCAAAACAACTAAACACTTATGGGAAATGCTGGACTAACACATTAGGCAGCGCTCTCCACCATCATTATGAAAACACCAAATGAGGGAATATGTTTTGGAAGAACGGTGTTCATCTCTCCAGTGGGGATCCAGACACTTAGAAAATCAATGCCAAGTTGCACTGAATCTGTTCTAGTGCCTTACTCAGACACTTTATGCTGTTTTTTTCCTTTAATTTGTCACCTGTCTTTACATTATAGTGTGAGGGTTAAAGTGAAGAGTGACCCATGTATGACAAAAAAACCCCAGCAATAAACCACACAGCAGCTTGTCCTAAATGAATCTTTCATGTTGTGTCAAGATTTTCTTTTATTTTGACAGCGTTTCAGAATATCATACAGGTAAACAAGATTTTTGCAAAAGTTAATATATCCATAATGTTGCATTTCATAAAAATAGTTGCTCCACTTACAGTCTTTGTGACCATCAATAGTACACCGAGTCATATTTATAGAGATATTTGTTCAGGGTCTACACACTGCTATAGCACTACACAGTGATACTGAGCCGCTTGGGTGCTGGAGTTTACGCTGCTGTCGTGCGCATTTCAACACACACGCTTTTGCAAATACACCTCTAGATAGTCTTTTTTATATTGTTTTTGATTTCCTTAGAAAACTACTTACAATTTGGCTCGACGGAGACAGCTCAGACATGGAAAGCAGTGAGTTGTGCAAAGGATGAGCAAAAAAGTACGCACATATTTTTGTTTCTGCCTCAATAAGGAGTTAGAAAATAAAGGAGCAGTCCGGCCAAATGGGCACGATGATACAGGATGTTGTTTTTAATCATGTTAACCCCACACATCATCTACAAATGATTGCACGGCTGAGCCGCTTGTGCCTGGCTGATGATTTTTCTATTTCCTGACACAATAATTCAAATCCCAATCCCTCTGTGTTGGATTGTGTTTTAAAGTCTGTCTGCTGAGTCCTTGTGTAATTACGGATTACAGTTGCAAACATAATGACTTGTCTCCCTTTGCTCTTTTAAACACTGTTAGAAAAGGAAGAGAGGAAGAAAAATTTTCTCGTATTTTATTCTTTTCATTAATGTTGGCTTACTCGGAGGAAAAATTACCACTCAGAATTTTTACAGCATCTGCATGTGGATGTCGAAGATTTGTAGACCTTAAAATTGACCATTTGCTAAACTCCTCCCCTGAAGAGCCATTCAATCACATTGAGCACCTGCAGACCTGTCAAGCTTTGAATTTATGCTCCTGTTGACGTCTTGTCATTTGGCTGGAGGACGGGTTTGGTAGGCGATGTCAACTTTTAGATTAGATTTTTTTAACAAAACCAAAAACAGGAAATGATTCATGTGTGTTTATTTGCTCTCATGTGAGCTGAAATCAATTGCTATTTATTAGCGTGGCATCATTAGTGGCTCAGTCCCGCTTTTAATTGGATTTGGGACGTCTGCACTCCACCGATCTCAGCCGACGCTACCTGAGACACACCTGTAAGTCTTCATCCTAAAAGCCTTTCCTCCTCTAACACTAAAAGTGAAACATGAAACGAGAAGCTGCTTTTAAGTACCTCTGTCTGAAATCAAGGACCCTCCATTTCACGAACTGCTGCCTCCGTTTTTATCACAGTTACCTGCAAATGGAAAGCTTGACAGGAGAAACAACAGTAACTAAAGGTGGCAGGGCTTAGCAAACAGTCAGTTGTTAGGTTATTGTATAAAAAAAATGTACAAGAGAACAGCCTTCAAAGCCTTTGAACTCTGGGGCAGGCGAGGAAAAAAAAAGAAAACCTACAAGGAGCTTTGGCATGGATATGTACGTCTTAATATCACACAGTGTCGACAGAATCACCTAAAACAAATCAAAATCAGCAGCTGACAGGGTCTCTGACACGTGCGCCCTCTCTTCAGCCTCCCTGGAAATGACAGAAATGTTTTGCTTTCACTTCGTTTAGTTACACACTGTTAGGCCAGAGAGCTCTTGACAAGCCGGATTGATTCTCCGACGACTCAATATCAGATTTTACTAATTTGGTTTGGTTTGGGTGCAAAGCTCTGCCATGTGCTGACATTTGATTACACCGTCTCATAAAAGTGATTCTTCATGGAAATTACTGGTGTCAGACCTCATTAAGAAATCAGTAATGAAAGTATCATGACCCGAAATGCAGCACTTCCACAAATAAGGACCATCAATACCTCTGGTAATGGACTAATTTTCATACATAAGCTTGTGAAATAAATTATATATTTCACCATATCACACTGAAAAAATACAGTTTATTATTTATATCTGTAAAGTTGGTGTTGTATAGCAGCCTGTTTTGAATCCTCCGAAGTATTTTGGAGTTGAACCTTTGACGTAAAAGCCAACCTCTGTGTCAGTCTAAGGCACTCTGCCCATCGGTCGGTTTCATGCGAGCTCCTTCTGTCAGCGTCCGGCTGGACACCACCGTCGCAGATTGCCGTGTTGGTTAAGCACGAAAACGAGATAAAATGGATTGACAAGACAACCCCACCGAACTCCAAACAGACTGTGCAGTCAATCACAGCAGGAATTGCTGCCGAAACCCCCCAAAACTGCAATCACAGGGCTGAACGGGGGGGAGAGTAGGAGAGGGGGAAGTTGTTGCGCTGAAAGTTCTGGTCCATGTCTCGCTGCTTTGCTCGTTTATTCGCGGACTAGAACTTCCTGCGGCTTAACTAGAAGATTCTGTTCACTTAAAGATGATCTTATTTACAAAATGTTCCCACATATTCATATTCATTATAATATATCTTTGTCTATAATCATCTGATAGATCATTCAAGACAGATTCAGGCCCACACTGTCTCTGTTAAGGCAATGTTCTGTTGATGAGCAGATTTCATCTCCGCTGTCGCTCTTTGATCCATTCACTCTCATCAAAAACAGGCATCTGTTTAACATTCCATTTCATAAAATAGACTCCACTGTGTAGATATATAAAAAAAATCCAACGCCAACCGACAGTTGCGTCCTGTCAAATTGTTCATATTTGCATGTTTGTCCCCCACTTCTGCTCGGGGAGAATAGAGGTCCTTATAATTCATTCAAACCTCCCAAAAGACTCCTCGCCGCGCTACACAAAGATTTGCTCTTCCTTTTTTGTTTTGTTTTTTTTCTTTTTTTTAAAGTGGATGATATTTCCAGTTCTTAAGGTGGTGGGTGTAAAATATTTCTCAAAATAATTTAAAACACAGTATTATAAATAAAACTTTAAAAACACGTGGTCCAGATCACCCTGCGCCCCCTTCTTGGTTTTGACTCTATGGTAGTAACGGGGTTGGGGGGTGGAGGTGGGGTGGGAGTTAAAGGGGCTCAGGAAGGTGTGAGGATGTCGTCCAGATGGGTGGTTTAGTTCAGATGAGGGTGGCCACTGTGTTCTGCTGGAGCTGCTGTGTTATCTGCTCAGCCTGGACGTGCCTGTGCGCAGTGTGCTGGGCAGCTTGTCTGATCCAGGGATCTTCCAAGGCCCAGGGGAGACCGTCACCTTCCTCCCCGCTGCGATGCCGCTGCTGGTGCTCTTGCTGGGCAGGCTGGGCCGGCTCTCTCCCTGGCCCCTGTCTGGTTCCCTGGGCCTCGGCTTGCCCTGCTCTGGCTCCACCTGCTTCCCGCCGCTCCAGCGCTCTGCGTCTTCCCTGCTGTTCCCGTTAGTGTGTGGGAGCTTCGAGCCGCTGGGAGAGTGGGTGGGTTCTCTAGTGTCCCCAGTGTTCCTCTCCTTGGACCTTCCTCTGGTGCTCCTGGAAGGTTTGGGCTCTCCGCTCTGCCCCTCCTTGCCCCCTTCCCCGTCGGCGGCGGGCTGCATCCGGTGCCCCTTGTGGGTGGACCTGCCACCCTCCTTCTTGGCTCTGCCGCTCCCGCCGGTTGTCGCCACTCTCCTCCCCTGGCCGGTGGGATCTGGGTTCAGCAGCTCGGCTTTCTGGGGGCTCTTGGGACGCTCCGTCCTGCTGTCTCGTGCCACCGGGTCTCGAGGGACGTCCTGAGGTGGCAGATGAGGAGGGTCGGGGGCCGGGGCCAGATGAGATGAAGGCGATGACATGGAAAGGCTGTCGATGGGAGGGGCTACTTCCGACAGGCTTGGGGAGGCTGAAGGGCGAGCATCCCATGGGGCGGCATTGTCTGGAACACATACGAACACGGTCAGCACTGGTGAAGACGGCACCAACGCACAGCTCAAAGACTCGCACACCACCGCACAAGCAAACACTATAAAATCAACACAATAATCATCACAGCAATCAGTCCTATTCTACAAGCCAGAAGCATTAAAGTAAATATCCGAGCAGCACTATAACCTACTTCCGAACGTGTCACAGGGCAGCTCTACTTTTAGACAACATCAATCTGCCTCCCATAGCTCTCTTTAATGCCTCGGCCAATCTAAAACCTTGACGGAAAATCGAAAACGGGTTTAATGAAATGGATGATGTGCCCAATAGGGTGGTGCTTTAGCGAGAATGAAAACCTCAGGGGCCGAGCAGCTCTCTCTCTCTCTCTCTCTCTCTCTCTCTCTCTCTCTCTTAAGCCTGAGAAAGTCTGCATCCAGTGTAGCCGCCGCAGTGAATCTGAGGCTCGTTCCTCCACAAAACTCTCCACTCTCACGGACTGTTAGCTTCCGTTTCTGCACCGATGAGCCCCGGTCCCTCGGCCATCAGTCATTTTCAGCGGTCCAGGCAGGGGGCAGAGGCTAGGCCGGCTACACAAGCGCCATGAGGCCCAATTATAAGGAGACTCTCATGCAGCGCTGGAGCACATTAGATGCAGAGCTAAGAGGGAGAAGGAGGCATTTTCTAAGTACACTGGAACTTCACAGCGCTTTACCTACAGTACGCCTGCTGCAATGAAGTGACATTAGCCCCCGTAAAGAAGCTCTATGTGTGTGTGCAGCTGTTCGGGTGTGTGAAAAAAACTATGATTATCACATGCTGTGCTAATGCCTAGTGTCAGCTCCGCTAAAGCTCTGCTCACCTTACATTTCTGCTGAGTCATCGAAACTTAAATATGGGATCTTGTTCTATAGACGAGCAGCACGTTATTTTTGGCTGCTTGGGTGCAGCAGGCATGAGCTGGAAATACAGCACAGACACATGGTCATTTTTAAAGTTGATATGGCTCACTTGTTGCCAGTTTTTAGGGTTTTTCCTGCCTCAGAATAAGCCCTTTGGGGGGCGACTACGCACAGCAGTGAGCATGCTCAGTGAAGGCAACGAGTCTGTGCTATCTTATTAGACAGAATTTCATGCGTTTTTCTGTTATTTCTGATCATTTGATAAACAAAAATGTATATTATGCTTAAGGGAAGGAAAGCTCAATAACAAAACTAGTGAAACTTTTTTTTTTTTTTAGTCTCAGTTTTGATCATTTTGGCGCCGCTTAAAACGTCTTTCATCCAAGCAGGAAAACCCTGTGGTACATTTTTAGCACCGTCTTACTGTCTGCTACTCCTGAGGGAAATATCTGGCTCTGTAGCTGCTAAACACACACTATGTTCACCAGCCAGTTACTAACTTTGTCCGTGCAGTTAAGTGCTGAGCAGGTAGTACACTGTGAGGTTTTTTTGGACTTTTTCACAGGGAGTGTTATTCGGCCAAGGAAAACAGTAACTGTAATGTTTTTGGTCGGCTTTCAAAAGCACTGTAAGCCTTTTTTTATTTTATTTTTTTAAAGGAAACCAAACAAATATAAGTGTAAAGTCAGAAATGTGTTTATCAGGTCGATGGGGTTTAATGAAATGTGAAATTTACATTATAGGAAGTGTATCCGGTGCTTTTTAAGTTTGATCCAGAGGGACTAAAACAGGTTATTTTGGTTTCCTCCGCATCGATTTTGATCATCCTTTAGTTAATCCCTCTTGCAGGCCCAAATTTAAAGAGTATTTGAAGAGTATTATTTTAATTGCTACTGGAGATATTTTGAACTGGCTTTAATCCTCTCAAGTCCAAAAGCCACCAGTGGGTTTGAAAGGCAAAAAAATAAAAAACTAGTCAATATGCCACTATAATCAGAGGAGACACTATAAAACAGAGCGAATCGTTGGATTTTTACATTTCAAACTATGATAAGAGCAAAATCTGATTGGGGTTTAAAGGGTTAAACCATAAAAAGTATTCAGATTTAAAAAAAAATACCACTATAATGAGAGAATTTAAGGATTTTACATTTAAATTTACACTAACAAGACCAGGTTCTTATGTAAATGAATGGAGAGAGAGTCATAACTGTAAGTTCATAGACTCATCTGTCACGTCTAATTAAATTAGGTGATTTTGCACCCCAAAAAGTTTTAAACATCCTTTCTTCCCCCACAAGTTATACTTCTAATGCAAATGATCAGCGCAGTTAATAGTTTCTTGGTTTAGTTGTTTTACAACCACTATCCTCAAAACTTTCCTTAATTCCTTTTCAGGATTCTTCAAGTGCTGAGTCTTACCTTTATAACATCTGATCCACATGTTGGACTCAGCCTTTCCTCTCTGAGCATAATTAGTTTCCTCAGTTTGCTTTGGAGCTGCTTTAATCTAACTTGTACTCCCAATTTGTTTTTTTTAAAAGGATTCTTCAGAGTAACTGATAAATTTTCCCCCTGGAGCTGCAGCCCTTATGTTAGATAGAGGGACTCAATAACTCAAACAACACCTCACACAGGAATATTCATGCACCACAACTATATTACATCAACACAACTCACTTTATAATCTTGATTTTTCCATGCTTCATTTTGCACTGAGCTCTTCCTCCAAAGCACACAACAACCTGAGATAAAAATAGCTCGCTCCTTTGAACATTAGTATGCTAATGTCTCAAATAGCCAAATTAATCACCGTACACGATTTGCATAACCTTCTAGTATGCAAATAAAGTGCCTGTAAACTACGAGTGATGAAATGCTGAATCAAACCCACACAGACGAGACCATGTGGGTTAAAAATGCTGCTTCTGCCTGGAGACTGCAGGGAAATTCAGAGGAGAACACAGAAAAAGATTTCTGGTGTCTGGCTGACCACACTAAGCCTCCTTGTGTGCATATTTCAAGGCTGGAGAACCACCTCAAGGCAAGTATTACCAAAGCTCTCCACACAGACAGAGATTAAATCCCTGGCTGGAAGGGGCCTGGCAGAAAAGGGCCGCCATGGGGGAACAACATTACCCTCTATTTCCTGTGTTTAAGGGCTAGAGGGTGACCGCCGAGGCCCTATGCTGATCAATTTGTGTCACTGGGGGGGTTTTAATGGCCAAAATGACTGTCTCTCAAGCAGGAGGATGCAGAAAAGAGAGTGATGCAGAAGCCTCGGGAGCGAGAGACGCCTCAGAGTTTTATTACCCGCGGTGTCACACAAATAAATGTCCCCTTCCAGGCTCAATTCGCGCTGCGCACAGATTTTACTGGTTAAAAAAATCAGCCGCGATATTTCACTTTCACGTCCCCTCGGCTGACTCAGGGTGAATGCTCATGTTGCTATATTTTCGGGCCTGTAGGTAGCTGCTGGGGGTTGATTTATCTTTCCGTCGGGAAGAGAGTTATGTTGACTAATTTTACAACCTCCCGCAGCTTGGAGTGATTTTTGGGGTGATTATTCCACAAGCAAAAAAAAATAAAAAATGTTCCAACAGTTTGGCTTGTTCAAGGTTATAAAACAAGTTGTTTGTGCATCTTGAATCACGTGGTTACACACACACACAAAAAACACAACACACAAAAACCACAGCAACAGAAAGCCAGGGTTACGTGAAGATAAAAAACATTCGTATGGTCACAAACCGTGTCTTTAGAGTGGCCCATTAGGAAGAAATAGGGGGAGCCATGCTTGTCACTTTTCATGCACATGGAGAGACTGGAAGATACCATTCCTATAGAAGGGGAAGTAACAACCTAGACCAATCAATTAGTGATAGATCACTGAAATGGACAGAAGATAAACTAGTGTTAGTCAAGATAGAAGAAACAAACAATTAGTTTTTTTTAACAGCATAGTGAAATACAGGATAAAGAAGTTTGAAGAATACAAGAGTATGAAGAGTTTAAAGATATAACATGAATATAAACGCATGCCAGATTAATGTTATCAAGAGTGATTCTAGGCAACAGTGACGAGAATACAGTTTAAGTGTTAAAGAGAGAAATGAATTGTAAAGACAAAGAAAGCCGCCGTATCATTTAAAATGCAGATACTTACCGTACTCTGGGACCTGCCCCGTACCCCTCTTTAGGAGGAGACGAACACGCCTGCCTCCAGATTTGATTAGCTCGATGGCTCTGGCGTGTGTCATGTCCCGAGTGCTCTCTCCATTGATCTCAATGATTTGGTCCCCGACCTGGATGTCAGGAAGCGTGTGACAGACAAAGAAAAGAAGTTGTAAACATCAATGAGGAGGCAAAATGAGGCGCTTATAAGATTTGGAAAACTGCTTCAACATGAGCACAAAGTCAGTCCAGGACCTTTCAGACTCCCAGCCAGGGATTATTACCATAAACTGTGACCTCAATAATGCTTTTTTAAAAATGTAATTTTATCACATTTTTGTCTTTTTTTAATAATCGACATTGTAGAAACAGTCAAGAAATGTTGGGAAACAGGAAATGGAATGCAACAAAAACAGCCGAAAGCAGCCAACATTGGATGCCCCTTCACTAATGTTCTTAGCAAATATTTTCACATAATCTTTTCACACAGTGGATGAAGACTCCTGAACCTGGCCCAACCAAGACAGGCTGACAAAGCTGAAGTCAGGATCTTTGCCAAAACCAAGCTGAACAAGACTCAGGAGAAAAACACACTGCCAGCCAAAGAAACCACCGAACAGGAAAAGTCATCATGAAGACGAGCCCTGCCAGGCACTGTACATTCCACAAGCTTTTGTATTTCTTACTTATAGCGTGACATAACAATGGCGGTACAACCCCCACATGGCTCTGTACAGTAAAGACGTGTGGCTTTATGTCAGCGTGGGTCCCTAATCATCTGATATCAATACTAGGATGCTGAAACCCAGCATCAAACAGGCACCCAGGGTGAATTATTTAACACCGAAAGAATCATCAAGCTTATCACTTGGTATCAGTTGTGCGATCGTAAACAGTTTTCCTATTTATTATTAATACAAAAAAGTTATCTTGCACTCATTTTATCTCACCAGCTCAGTTTCTAATTTGTCTCAGATCTATTTTCTGAATCCAGAGGAGAGGTCTGGTTTAGGAGTCTCCAGTTCGACTTGTTGTGTGTTTATAAGTTTCAAATGGTCAGAGCATCATCTGAACTGTTGAAATTCAGTTTCAGAGCATCCAGAGCGCTCAGGGCAGAGGGGATTTAGTGGTTTGGGGGGCTGCAGGCAAACTCTTGCTTTATTTTCACCCTTTCACCAAGTGAATGCTGGTGTTTGCAGTGTGTTCACAACGATGAATACTGCAGAGTAAAAATACAGAAAAAGTCCTGCGCTCAATTTTTTTTAACTTATACATGAAGAGAGGGAATAAAAACAAAAAAAAAGAAAAACCCCAATAAGTGATAGAGGTAGTGTTACGGTGCTGGATGGATTAGCAGAGTAGTAGATCAGTCACACTGTTAAAAGTTTAGCACCACCATCCCTACAATCAAATCAGTCATAATAAATGAAAGTAAAAGTAAGGAAGACACTGAATGCAGAAAAGTGAGGGAATTTGTATCGACATACAAGCAAAAATACTTGATCAGCATATTGCAAGTTCTCACTTTCCTGCATTTGGTGGCTTCATTTGCCAGATAGAATCCAAAGTCTGTTGTAAGACCTAAACAGAAGAGTGACGACTTTAAAATGACATGTTCATTAATAGCACAAGGGTGGCATGTTGGAATGTCCCAGCAAAATAAAAATAAATCAAAGTCGGGATGTATGATATCATTGTGCTGTGCGGAGAACAGATAACCTGCCCCAGATTTTCAAGATGCAACTGTTTTAAGTCCAGAAGAGACTCCTTTGCAAACCGTTGCACACAACATCATCTCAAAGTAAATAAAAAAGTTTCTTTTTTTTTCAGCCACAAACTTCAGACAGCTTTTATTCAGAGACCGATAAATACTTGGTGAGCTGAGAGCAGCCACGTACAGCGAGCAGCGAATCAGTACTGAAGCTGTGTTTATAGATTCGAAAGCGTCAATAAAGCTCTTTGACCAGTAACTGTGAAGCATGGGGGAAACTAAACCGAGAGGGCTAATGTTCCCCGTGTACATCTGGAACAAAACAACAAAAAAACAGACCAAAAAAAGAAACAGTTAATGATATATGAAATGCAATTTCATGAGGCTTCTGCCTTGTGATTTATAAGGATCAATACCAATCTATAATTCATTGACTGTCCTGTGAGCTTCTGCAAGCATTAATTAGCATTACCGGTCATAAACTGGTGTCAGTTGTGATTAATTCTGGCAGTAATTTTGACATGTCATTTGGATGGAATTACGACCGGCTGCTTGTCAGGAGGCTGCTGAGGTTCGTATTATTACACTCTGATGAATACCAATGTCCTGCAGGTATAAAACAACACAACTGCAGCAGCTCAGTGAACAGCTACACTGGTGTTCGTGGATGGTACATCAATCAGGAAATTCACATTTTCTAGCTCCTTTTTACCCAGTTCAGGCAAAAATAGGCGCTCTGAAACTATTCCAAAACGCAACCTTTGTGCAATGGTTTTGGTAAAAAAAATAGAAGTTATATAAAGGCTTTTGTTCATTTTAAATGGAAAACAAAATGGAAAATTTAGCAGCTGCCTTCATGACACAAGCAAAGGATGACTGCAGCTCTTGTAAAATGGCTTAAAGAGCTGAGAGTAACACCTAAAGCAGTATTACATCATCACCTATGTGCGTCAATCTTATCTGATGCAATCTGAAAGAAATATTGCCCTATACTGAGGTTATTCGGACCACAATTTTATGAGGTGATGCACTTTCTTTGAGCCAGTGTTACATAAATACAAAGTGGACTGCTCCCTGACAAACATACGAGGTTGAGTCAAACATAAGACACGTATCCGCCCTTCAAGAGTCGCCTCCGAGGTTGACTAATGGCGAGGATTCATGGGGAACAGGACAAAACGTGCCGGCCAATTACGCTAACAAATGGAGAAGTCCTCCAGTAATGGTCGAGGTAATTTGAAAGTCAGGAGCGGACTCGAGTCAACAGAAGGGGAGTCATTAGGTGTCATTACAGTGGTCTGAAGAGAGGTGGAGGAGGTGGAAGGCAAGACGGTTCGCTCATTAATCCTCACCCCCTAACAGCGGAGGAGAGCCATCTCCATTGTCACCGTTAATAAAGAGGCAGCTGAAGCCGAATGGACAGCACGTGACTGCTGAGCTCGGAGAGCGTGAGCTGGACATAAACTCGTCTCTCCTGCACCCGATACCGACTGAAAACTGGTTTTAACAGCTTAAAGCTAAAACTGTTAATTAAATGTGCCAAATGATTATCTGTAATAACCAATCACTTCATACAATTTGCTTAAAAGCCTCTGCACTGGCACTTGAACCCGAAAAGACACTTGTTAGAATTTGTTCGCGCTCCTTGTTGCTGATTAGTTTGTAGCTTCTACAGTCAAAATAGGTTTTCTTCCTTTTTAGAGATGCTTCAAAGTGCCTGTTTGAAGAGGAATGACTTGACTGAAACTCAAAATGTCAGAGTGACTGCAGGGAGTCACAGTGCAAGTGGGCTTTTTTTGGTTTCTGCACCTTAGTATGTGTTAAAGCAGCACTCAAATCCAAAGTGACAGCCGTGTCACAAATGCTTTTTAAGCAATGTCTCACATTTACTTAAGCTAAATGCAGATTGATTCTTCACTGCTCCCAGCAGTATGGATCGAGGATTGTTGGAGGAGGGATCAAAGTGCTCTCTGTGCCTTCCTCAAGAAAACAGTGTCGAGCTGATTTCGATATGCTACCAATAGTGTTACTGTCTGGCCATTCAACTGCGACAAATTAGACTCAAGGGAGGAATGTAATTAAGCGCATTTACTCAAGTACAATTCCAAGGCACTTGAGCTTTACTTAACTAACTTTATGTTTATTTAATTTATACATGTAATTCACACACAGGGAAGTACTGCAGCTTTTACCCCACTGTATTTATCTAGAAGTTTACAGACACTACTTAGCCATCAAATTAAGAGTTTACGTCAAAACATGATACTCTGAACTTCTCGGGGGGATACGTCTGAATTTTAATGCAGCCATATTCCCAGTAGAGCTGTTGTCATTTACATGTATTTTTGTTTCTGTTGTTAGACAACAGTATGAAATATTGACTGAAACACATCCCAGTAAGGTTACATATGAACCAGCAGTCACGTCACAGCTTCTCTATAGCAAAAATATTGATTTTATAACATTGTCTGAAAAACTGCATTGTATATATGAGTTAATATTAACAACTGTGCTGTAAATTCTGCGCTATTTCCAGGTATTTGATAATCACAAACTTGAGTTGAATACCAAAATTATCAAGTTATCATTATACCAACATGTTTTATGGTTCTGAAATGTGGACTATGTACTAATACCAAGTAAAACAACTAGAGAAGTTTCATCAATGGTATCTATGCACAATTTTAAATATAAAGTGGTTTGATTGTGTCACCAATGCTGAGGTTCTTCACCGAAGCGATGCTACAACAGAACAGATCACAATGGTGTGGACACACGGTTAGAATGAATGCACTTCGTCTTCCTAAACAGCCTCTCTTTAGCCAGCTATCCTCAGGAACCAGAATCCTCCAAAGAAGAGAGTTAAGGACGCCCTCACAGAGACGTTCAAAGACTGTGAGATTGGTAATTGGGCTACAGCTCCACTAGACACACTAGTGTGGAGGAGAACAGTTCGTGATGGCGTGAGATAGTTTGAAAGGAGGAAGGCTGAGGAAGAGAGACAAGCCAGACTAAAGGCTGCTGAGGCCCTCAGTCTGGGACAGCTTCCTGGATAGACGCCTAAACAAAACTTATATGGACCGCCATGCTTGTGTTCAGCGGCAGTGATGATGGAGTAATGATTTCCAGGTAAAATGATCACTCAGAGAGAAAGCTAAAAGCAACAGAAAGTCCTGGTGTCACACATTCATTCATGTCTATTTCAGCTACGATGTGGTCAACTGTTTAGCTCTGTGCTGTCATGGATAGACACAGAGAGAGTCTTCTTCCTGATGGGGGCGTGGACAGCAGCAGCTCGGTTGTATTTAAACCTACACAGACTGAACCAGCCTGTTCAGAACAGAACTAAAACCCGGAGGAGTTATACAGTTGTGGTGAAATGACCCATCTTTGAGGGATTCTGAGCTGTAAAACTGATCGACACATTCAGGGACATGTCTGTACTTTGCTGAAAAGGAACCCAATAGGGGACCTTTGAAGTTAGATTTTGAGCGCAGAATTTTTACTGCTTTCTTTTTAGACAGTATACTTTTGCACCAGTGCTCAGACGCCAAAGCAGCTTGTACACTGAATGTAAAAAGAGCTCAGGAGGGAATCCCTCCTCCTCCTCTTTCACCTGCGTCTGGGCCCACTGGACTCCATCGACTACACCACCAAGCAGGGAAAGTAATACCTCCCCCAGGGGCATTTTGCACACATTATCTTTGACAGGTTCATTACAGATAAGCAATGTAGAGCATACTGAGGCTATCAGGCCCAGACTTAAAGATTGGAGAACATGCAGGAAAGAGAAAAAGAAAGTAGAGGACTGAAGGGATTGACAAATTTGAAAAGCTGCTGTGGAATTTATCGTACGAGCAGCAAATCACTCAAAATTTACACAGCAGCAATGAGTTGGAGGAGTGGAGTCACGGGCTGTGTTTTAATTTTCCATCGTATTTATATTACATCTTTACAAATTCAGAAAGTATGTGTGCTACTTTCCTCCTTTTTAGCAGCTATAGCCAGAGGGAGGTGCAGCTGTGCAAACACTTAAGTACAATTTAAGTTGGCCCACTTTAAGGTTTTTTTTTCTATCTTTATCTTGCCGAATATCATCTGTTACTAAATACAGGGGAGAGATGAGTTTTGGGAAGTTGGGAGCAGAGAAACTTCTGAAAAACTCTCAACGTCAAAAGGACGAACCATCTCCTAAGTTATTTTGACAGATTATTTCTTAGCCGGCTCAGAAAAGTTGCTGTTGCAGCTTTGATAACATCATACAATTACAGTGAGCGTTTGCCATGTAATCCAGAAAGATAGAAAGCAGCTTAACCTTTAAAGAGGGTGTAGCAGATTTTTTAAAGGAAACGACATCATCAAACCTACCCTCATCCTGCCGTTGCGGATTGCAGGTCCGTCCTCTGCCAGCCGCAGGACAAACAGGTCCATTTTGTACTCCCGCCCTCCGCGGATGCTAAAACCAAAGCCTTTCACGCTTTTCTCCAGCTCCACTGTGAAGAAGTCGAAGTCCTGTGAAAGCTGAGACAAGCAGAGATCAGACATGATTAGATTCACAGATATCGGAGGACAAAAGAGGCTGTTACAGCAGAAAATAGTCACAGGACTCAGCAAAGAAAAATCAGTGAATGAAAATTGTGCAAATGCAAGTAAATATAATACAACCAAGAACTGTATGAAAGACTTTCGAACTAAGAACGGGAACTGCTGAGGCAAAAAAAAAAAAGTATGCTAATGAGTCCAACATTTTAGTTTTCATGCACGACTCCCTGTTGGTTAAGACATAACTTTGTAGTCTCGTTGGTGAAAGAGACAAAAGCTTCAAGCAGAAATATTACATTACATTTAAATAAAAACTGAAAAACAGCTGTCATAAATGTGTATGAAAGATTCTCATCCTAAATCTAATCTGATGAGAAAGAAATATATTGAATTTTAAGTCAAGCCATCGGTACCTATTAAGCCCATTTAAAACAACAGCTGCTGAGTCAAAGTACTTTTCAGCAGAGAAATAAGACTGATGTTGTGAATTTACCAAACAACTTTTAAACTTAATAGTTTTATTGTAATATTACTTAAATGTAGATTTTAGGGTGAAGACTGGACAATTCCAAACTTCACAACTGCAAACAAAAATATGTGGAAACCAGCTTAGAATATAAGATCACAAGCTAATCATAGATATATTCTATTGGTATAAATGTCGGCCAGTAAAGACAACGCAATTTCAAAAGCACAATGAACAAATGTCGCAATTATTACGTTTTTTCCAGCAGGGAGCACAATCGTATATTTAGCCTTAAAACGTCCTGCTGGGTACATACCCTAGATACAGTTGCTGATAGCCAAATATTGTTAAAAAAAATTTTTTTGGGCACCTGAGGTTGAGCTGTACACTGACATATAATCCTCCTTTAAAGTTGCTTGAGTGACTTTGTTACAAACAGCTGCCTGTCTACAAAACCAGCATATATGGAGAAATATTAGCTAATCTAAACCAGTGAACACTTGACAAATCTAAGTCAGTTATTGTCTTCTTTTTGCTCCGTTTTGGTTTCCACCAACTCCTAAGTAAAACATGTAGCTCTTAAGTTGCTAACTGCACCACTAAACACTCACCAGCTAGCTTCTAACTGTGAGTCTCTGCTGTTTTTTAGCTGACAGAAAACATGCACAGATGCTTGCTGTGTTTGGATGAGACTGATGAAAGCACCGTGACTGAACCAAACAGTGAAACCGAATGCTGCAAAAACCAAAACAATGAGCTAAAATGCTAAAAAGCTCCACAAAGCTGAGGGGATGGGCAGAGATGGGCAATAATTCTTTGTAGATTTGTCACTACGAATTAATCATTAATCATTAATCAGCGCCATCTAAACTATTGTTAAGATAAAATATTGATGAGTGAAGCTTTAAAGGATCATGATCTCCATAGTCTTAAGTATCAGTGTTGGTGTTGGCCTCAAACACTCAGTCGGCTTTTACATAAGAGTCTGTGAAAGCACGCAGCAATTCTCTGCAGGGGGAAACATCCTTACTTGAACTGGTGGCATTCGGTAGTCTGGGATGGCAAACTGTCTGGCATCAGTAGCTAACTGTCTGTAGTCGAGCAGCGGCGGGTGTCTGTAGTCCAACGTGGGCGGCTGCCGGTAGTCTGCCACAGGAGGGTGCCGGTAATCCACCGGTGGCTGTCGGTAGTCCGTGAACGGCGGCTGTCGGATGTCTGGTTTAACATCTTGCCTGGCCTTCACCTCAGACCTGTAACTAACAGAACAATCGGAGTGAAGACAGAACTTCCAGGAGCATTTCTATTACTGTCATCATTATTATGTAGAAATGGAAAATTACTTGTGTTATTTTTCTGAGCACTTAGTGTGCTGTGAAAATAATGCTTTCTGACAAACCGCTGGGTCACCCCGGTGCTGACAGAAATGGCTTGTTTTAGTTTCGCACTGACAACCATTAAACACGACTTAAGCGTGGAAATTAAACTGTTTTTCCTCGCGCATCGCATAAAATGTTTATAATAAAAACAAGCTCTCTCTGAGGCTGACGCTGAGCACAAAGACATGTGGATACTGTGTAAAGCAGAGGGAACGCCAGTGACACTTTAGATTTCGGACCCCTGCAGTTCTCGGTAAAATATTCAACAGATCTCTGTAAAGAAGCAATTTATGTAAATAATTGAGCAGTCCATAAGAGTTAAGTGATGTTACACAATAAACTGGGGAAAGAGAGAGAGAGTGTGAGGGATGAAGAGGAAGAGGAGACAAAACAGTGACAGAGAAAAGTACAATGGTGGAGAAAGAAAAAGGAAGAGGAGGAATAACAAGAGCTGCAGAGAAATAAAAAGTACCGAAAAAGGGGAGAGAATGTGGGGATGGATATATCTGACTCACTCATACCTGTGTTCCCAGTGGATCAGTGTTTTGCCCCAGAGACAGATAGAGGGGCTAGTCTATAAAAATGCTTCACTGCATCAGAAAATGAAGACAGCTGCAAACCGGTGTTTAACAAAGCGCGAGGACGAAGCAGGATTCATTAGAGCTGTTTGCCGGCGCCTTGCCAACCGAGTCTTACCTGCCCTCGTGGGTGTAGGTCTGAGGCGGAGGGGCGGGGAGCTGGGTCACGGGGCTCTGGTGGGGCATGGGGTTGGGCTGGCCGACGGATGTGTTTGGTTCTGTCGCTGCCTGGTTGGACTGGGAGGCTGCCGTGTTGGGTTGGGTCTTGGGGCTGTGCTGCTGAGCCATGGGGCTCTGCTTCTCTGAGCTGGGCGCCGAGGGAGGATTGCTGATCTCTGGGATACAGAAAGAACAGAAAATGATACAAACAAAACCACAGCAAGCACTTAAAGCCTTTATTTATCCAGGCAAGTCTGTTATTTTGATGCCTGAATTTGCATTAATTGATTTTTTGGCCACTTGAGGGCAGCACAGCAAACTTATTGTCTCATTATAAAGCTGATCTGCTGCAGCAACAATTTAAATCAAAGCAAATCCAATATTCACTCTGAAAGGAGGTTTCTGTTCAGGTTTTCGACAACTGCTTAAGGAACTCTGAGGTTGTTTAGTTGGTAAATACTTCATTATTTCCAGCAGCAAGTTGCTGACTTTGTTGTTTGTTGCTGGGCAGGTAACTCGCAGAGGGTTTATTAAAAGTTTTTGCTGAAAACAGAAGAACTACAAGAGTAAAGCTGTGAGCTGCAAAACCAAAAGAGTGAGCTGAAAGAGGCTAAAACGTCTCAAACACCTGGATTGCAGCCTGTTCACACACAGATAGCCATTTCCTTCATTTTTAATATAAAAGTATTTATTAGTGCAGATTTATTCCTATGTTTAATAGAACAACACCATTGTTCTATTGTTTCTAGAACTTCGTGACTATCTGACATTCTCAGCCGCTTCACGCTGCGTTCGGGCAGCTTTGCTGGGTTCGATCTTCCCTCTCTTAGCTAAATGCAACTTTATAATTGTCTTCCTGGAGTGAGTGTTTGAAAGTATGTGCTGTTATTCTCATTTCTAATCAGTATCTCATCTCTTCTCATTTTTTACTGCCTTTGTTCAAACACTACTGCCACAAACTTCTGACCAGAGAAGCAGCGTGAAACTTTCAGCAGGACAGCATTTCATGTGCACAATACAAATTAAACAGGGACCCGCTTGTAAAAAAAAAAAACCCTGCTCTATAGCACCACTAATATTCCGAAACTCCACAGGGTATCTTTGCTGTATCGCCAAATAATGAGATTACAAATGTCTATTAAAGGCAAAGAATACGACTGGAAGAAGGAGGCATTTTGTCCCTCTGTTAATGTATAATACAGGCTCTTCCTTGTTCTTAGTAATAAAGTCAGTCTTGATTGCTGTAGTAATTTTAAGCCTATTAAGACTATCTGTTCTGGATGACCAAGTAAAAGTCTCTTGGGGATTACAATCTCGTTTTCAAAAGCGATGCGGCCATGATTGCAGCATATGAGAAGAATCAATGGGAAACTGAAACACATTATTTATAGCATCCCCTGTGCATCCCCGGGTACTATAATAAGAGATAAGCAGCTCTGTTCGAGCATTCGCTTCTGAACGTGTTGCAGAAACGCAGTGAGAATTGGTGAGGAGAATGTGCAGACCTGCTTTTGTGAATACGACAAAATCGCAGTCAATCTCAAAAACAATCACATTTTAATAAACTTGCCATGAAACTTTCATTTAACAGATTCCATTACCGTCATAAATCCTTGTCTGCCCAAACTAATGCGGTTTTAAGTCCCTGTCTGTCATGTTGTGCGTGCGTCCACGTGTGTTTCCTCACCTTCCTGTGGTATGATCCTCAGGGTGACACTAAGGCCTGCATCTTTGATCAGCTTGACGATGTCGGCGTGCGGCATGTTGACGATGGACTGGCTGTTCACCGCCAGGATCCTGTCTCCCACCTTCAGCTTCCCGCAGCGGTCGGCCGGGCTGCCCTCAATGATGCGGCCAATTTTATGGGGCACAGCTGTTGGAGGATTCAGACGCAACACGCTGCAGGTAAAGATGCGCTCGGCAGCAGATTGGAGGATTACGCCTGCCTGTGCTCACACACCACTCACTGACTGACTGACTGAATGTGTCTCTGTCTCTCTCATTTTGCTATTCACCCTAGGCTTACGTAAGGCATCCAGGTTTTTTTTTTTCTTTCTTTTTTTTTTTTTTTTCATGTGTGTGGGCGATGCACTGATGCTCACAGCAGCCGAACAGAGATGTGTGAGACTGACGTACTGTGGGAGGGCATGTATAATTGAGTAGCTACAATAAGAGGGGCTTCACTTTTTAGTAAATCATGACCTAAACTTCCTCTCAAGTTTGGCACTAATCTCGACTCTATATAGCGACTACCTGACAGCTTACATGCACCTGTGAGGTTTTACACTAGATTGAGCACTTGGTGTAGTTATTATGCAGAGCAGAGGGTGAGTGATGATGCACGGGCTAAGCATCGACTTGACTCCATAAACGCCACTCAATCAGCGGACTCACTGTTGGTTGCGGCCGCCTCAGGCCGGTTGAGCGAGCTGATGATGACGAAGCCGAAGCCCTCGCTCTCCTTTCGGTTGATTATGACGTCACTGGGCTGCGTGTTGGGGGTCAGCGTCCCGTCGGAAGTGGCGGTGGCGTTGCCCATGCCGGCGTTGGGAGGCTGGGTCGTGCTGGTGCTGTTGCCATACGTGAAGTCACTGCGTGGGGAGCTGTGCTGCGTGGAGACAGAACCCGGGCTGCGGCCGTTCTCCGGACAGGACTCCCCTGTAGAGGGAGATGGAGAGCTGAGCAGTGCTTCTACTGATAGAAAGTAGTGGAAGAGATATTCACATTCTTATCATATAACTATCAGGGGTGAAGAGGGATCAGAGAGGGCACTGTAATTATTATTTTTGCATAGAACATTATAAATAAAACGACCTGACAATAAAATGCAACCCAGGAAGTCTACTTTAGCCCTCCTATTACCTTCAATTTACTGACATCTTTTATCCTTGGGGTCAATTTGGCCCCAGCAATTTAAACCTCCAGAAAAGTATCATAATTAAAATCGTTACCCAAGTTTATTTGTAATAACTCTTTAAATAAAACAGAAAAACGTATGTCAATCATTTATTTAGAGACGTTAAACATTAAATGGAGTCAAATTGACCCCAAAGATAATAAGAAGGTTAAGTAACAAATCTGAGAATTTGGACACTTAAATAACTACAAAATGGTTTACAGCAATGTAGAATAATTCCAGACAGCATTTTACAACTTTAGAAAATGTAATAACTCTTATTATATTTTTATTTTCTCAGCCATGAGCA